GTGTCCTGGGCATAATCTTAGAGGGCTGTAGCTGTCAAATACACCCCTTAAACTACAGTAGATATGATGTAGGCCCCGACCTTCATGCCGCGCTTTTACCTCAATGCGATACAGCACCACCACACCACCACTCCCCTCCTCACCCCGGCAGTCAGGCCATCACTCATTTTCCTGCTGCTCCCCCCACCCACTGCCACCGACAGGATGACTACCCCTTCTTTGATTCCCTCTCACACTTCTTTCTCCTACACCCTTCACTGCTTTGGCAAACTATCAGGGACACACCCAGCCTTGTAGGAAAGCCTTATCGCCTAGGGAACAACACCCACGAGGGGATAAACCTTGCAGTGGTTAGATGAAACTATGCATTGTGTTCTGGTAAGTAACTCAGATTCACACCAACTCCCATGTCCCTCTAGAATTTCCTTCACCCTTTTAGAACCAGTATACTCGGAAGTATGCACTGGCCTCTTCTCATCATTCAGGCATTCAAGTATGGCAGGAACAATCTATTACCACCTAAAAAATCTGAGGAGGTTTTGTCCACAGCAACTTCGTATGCGCGCCTGGTATCTCGGCCCCGACCCGTGAACGTCCAAGGAGTTAGTTTTTTCTTTTGGAAAGTAATAGAACATGGCGACCTCGATGTCAAATCAAATCGGAGATCAAACTGGAGCCGGACACCTCTACGAGACCGGCCTTTTAGATTAACCTGAACCTACTTAATCCATGAAAAAGATCGTGCATGTTTGCCCTATTCACGGAGCATGTTTGCCCTGTTCACGGAGCATGTTTGCCGTCGACGATCAGTTTCCTTATCTCGCGCCAGAGTAAATCAAGGCGCCAATTCCTTAATGGAACTCGTCGGGATCTTGCAGCGTAGCTGCATCTGCATAGGGTGTCGGCATGGCGTGTCCAGTTCTTCTGATCACAATGACAGCCCGCATGAAGGTGCAGCGCTGTCGTCTTCCCCTGTAGATCAGTGGATGAAGCGGCTACAGGAAGCCCATCGGTTGGTGGACGAGGTCACCGAGCGGGACAAAATTCATGTCCCGGTGCAACACACGGGCATAAATCTAGTGATAAAAAACAATTCATCATCTTCTTCTTCCACCTGTATTAATTTCCTATTTTTCTCCTTTAGAGCCCATTATCTAAAAGATGCAAATAGAAACAAGCTGAGATAATGGCCTACTTACGTATTTATAAATTTAAAAATTAAGCTAGCAGACATAACTAGCTACAACCTGCAACACAAACTGGACTGCAGAGGGGTCAAGTTAGACTCCATCCGCAACCAGCAAGAACTAAACTTACCTAGCGCAAGAAGAGACAAGTTAGTTGTTGTTTCGGAAACTATTGTTTCAAGTTGCTTCTGTTTCTGAAAATTGCTGTTTCAGAAACACCAAACAGACAAGAATGCATAGTCTTAATTTTTGCAGAAATCAACAAACAAAGAAATCAGCACAGAGAAATCAGTGACCAAGCCCTTTAAATAACAACTCAAGTTATATAATAGCACATAAATGATCAGGTTGGCTAGTTAGTTTACACATGGTACTTTTAGTTCTCCAACAGCAACCAAAATAACATGTCTAGGAAATATAAACACTGAGTGAAGTACTGCTGTTTCAGAAACACCAAACAGACAAGAGAACGACTTGCTAAAGAAAATATTAATTGGCATGCATAGTCTTAATTTTTGCAGAAATCAGCAGCCACTACTAGTAATGAACACACAGCACATCAATCAGAACTGAATTACACTACTAGTATTCTAGTAATGAACACAGAGCACATCAATCTGACCTTGGTCCTCTCCTTGGTGCACAACGAATATCACTTGGTGACCCTCACCTTGCTTTGGTTGATCAGGAGCACGAAATTAATCTGTAAAAGTGCACAGGAAAGCGTCACATTCAGCTAGCTTGTACACAAACAAGATCCACTGCTTTTAATCATGATCAATATGTGGCAACATAACAAACATGTGGCAAAAGTTCTTAATCAGTCAATTAACGTAATTTCTGGGACCCACCATCTCCTGCTGCCAAAGCTTGCAAATTTCTCCAGGAAAAGTTTACTAACGTCTGACTAAGGTGTTTTTGTTTTTTTTTAAAAAGAACCGTAGTGACCAAGCCTTTTTTGTGCTCTCCTACAGTCCTACATGTATTGGACATATGTTGTGAATCAAACTGGAAGGACCTTATCCAGCAATCACACAATGCAGTAGCAAATCAGCACTTGGAGCGACTCAATAAAACCTACTGAATCAGACTGGGGTTCCTAATGATAGTGCAAAAAGGAATACTTTGTTCAAGATAGACGCTTGCTTGTGGACTGTTTAATATATACTAGCCTGCAATAATTGATCGATAGCTAGGCACACATAAATTAGTTAGTTTGTTCAAGATAGTTAGGCAGAGGGAGGTGGCAGGTACGTAACGATAGAAAATGGTATTGCTGGAAATAATAAATAGACACTATTCAGAGGGGACAGTAACGCAAGCAATTTGCTCTTTCCAATGAAGAAAGCTTCAATCTTGCGACTTCTATCTTGACAATTCGGCTAGCAAGGTTGCTCAAGTGAATGCAAAATCTCTAAGCTCTATATATCATGGAAGAAGCACGAGTAATTGCAGGAACCACCACCATTCATCCATGCATATATATATATATATATATATATATATATATATATATATATATATATATATATATATATATATATATATATATATATATATATATATATATATATATATATATATATATATATATATATATATATATATATAGCAGATCTATCTAACAACAAAAATAGATGAGGACGCGTCCAGCCTGTGACTAACATACCACACACGCGGGCCAACTGGCCGGGATGAGAGAGGCGGCGGCGGTGGCGGCACGGCGAGGGTCGCAACTGATGGCTTGGAGACGTAGGGAGCAGCGACCGGTGGCGTTCAAACCCTAGCCCCCATGGCAGTGCTCTGCGAGGAAGATGAATTAGAGATCTGGTGACGGAGCGAGCGGAGATGGGAGGCGCACGAGTAGGAGAGGGGTGCCGCTCAAACCCTAGCCACCATGGCTTACCGTGCGAGGTGAGAGGGCGAGCAGGCGACGCTGCACGCGAGGGAGAGGAGCGACAGGACGGGGAGCCTCTCTACATAGACATCCAATTCGCAAACCCTTTCGACCCCGTGCACGCCAATTCGTTCGATCTAATTTTCTCTCCTTTTTTAATTTTATTTCCAAATATCTCTACCCACTCCTCAGGGCACGGGAAAAGACTGAACTAACCTTTCCTCCTGTGAGGGAACTGGACACACGGCCAACACTCCGTTCGCGCGGGGCCCTGCCCTCGGTTCGCGCGCATCCTCGCCGGCACCTCCCTGGCTGGCGGCGGGGAGGTCGCCCAATCGTTGGTGGAGGGTGGCCGGCGCGGGGACTGCTGAGCAGCCGCTCTCCCCAAACCCTAGCTGCGGGCCGGCGGGGAGAGCGGCGGGGTCGCGTGAGTAGAGCAGACGGGTGGCCGGCGGCGGGGCGGTGGGCGGGCCGCTCGCCGGCGGCGGGCAGGGGCCAGCGCCGGAATAGCCAGCGACGGCGACGTCGAGCGCTAGCGGCCGCGAAGCGCTGCTCACGAGTCACGACTCGAGCGAACGCAAGAGTCCCGAGGCATTTTAGTTTTTTTTCCTGTGGCCGGAGCACAGAGGATAATACATTGGAAATAAAAAATGATAGCAAATCTGAGAAAGAATTAGCGTGTATAGGGTTAAATTTCAAAAGATCTACGAATTGGATGTCAAATGTAGAGAAACGTGTGAATTGAGAGATAAATATCGAAATATCTCAGAAGGAGTTTTTTAGCCTAAGATTAGGGATGGATGCGGATGTCCAAATATTCAAGATATCCGGGCCTTGTTTAGTTCTCTTCAAAATTCCAAGTTTTTTCACTCTCTCTCCATCACATCAATTTTTAGCCGCTTGCATGGAGTATTAAATGTAGGTAAAAAAAATAACTAATTACACAGTTTAGTTGGAAATCACAATATGAATCTTTTGAGCCTAGTTGATCCACGATTAGATAATATTTACCAAATAAGACAAAAGTGATACTATTCATCAGATTGAAAAAACTTTCAATCTAAACATGGCCCCGATATCCGTATCTGTTTTAATGTAAATATGATATCCGTATCCGTATTCGATTTAAATATAGATGTTAAATTAATGTATCCGTATTCGTTTTTAAAGATTATCTTCAGTCCGATTCCACGTCCATATTCAAAGAAAATGTGGAATATTCGATATCATCTGCATCCGCGAATTATAAATTATTCTGAAAACCATTTAAATCTTATAATTATGACTAATTAACTATGTAAATAACAATCATTCTAATATAACATATGGTATGTATCATTATTTAAATGTCATCTATGGCTAATGTAATTTTAATATTATAAACAATATAAATCTTAAGTTTAATCAATTTGAATATGGCTAATCATATTAATTAGTATTTTATTTTATTTTAAATATTAAGTTTAATCAATTTTAATATGTATCATTATTTAAATGTCCATAAAAAGAGAAGTTTAACCAACAATTTATTACATCTCTAGTGTATGAATTTATTATGACTGTTCGTTCTTGCACGAATGTTGGCTCCTGGCCAGAGAAATAACCAACAATACAAGTATAATTCAAATTCCTACACTTGATAGTAGTAGGCACTTTTATTTTAATTTCTTTCTGCAATGAAGCATGGAAGAAGATATACGCCTAAACAAGTGAAGAAGCGATACATAAGACCGCCCTCCAAGGAGAGGGATTTCTAGAAATTCCATTGCACGTGGTTTTCCTGAGTTTCTGCAATGACATTTCTTCTACCTCCTCCTAGCTTGCCATATATCCGAACTAATTACAAGAGATGTGAAGGTTGTTGTTCTCATTGAGCTTGAAGGGTTGTAGTTTAGGAGATCTGAATGCATGCATCATTAAACTTTCGCTGCTTCCGCTGGTACACCAGCCCTCTCAGCAACAATCTGTTCATAGAGATCCCTAATCTTGAGCCCAATGATGGTCTGGAAGAGACCTGTTCCGTTGTTGCTTCCTGGGAAGTCTGCATGCTTTAGCATTTGCTGTGTCACCTCTCCGTAGAACTTGGTTGAGAGGTTGCTTAGATGGCTCTCCACGTAGATGAGCTCATCTAGTTTGTCAAATTGCCCATCCATCTCCAAAACAGATACCTGAACACATCAAGCAAATGCTGACTCTGTAAAGCTAGCTTTGGGTCAGCCAAGCAAATTTTGTTCACTAGTTTAAAAGAGGTAATTTAGACTACCAGCTCGGTTGCTATCAGTGTCAATTTTTAGTTTCCAATTCCAAGTAACAGAACTAACTTTTGCATGAGGGGCTGAAGAGGACAAATAAATAGAGATGGATTACCTCGTTTCCAAAGTAAGTGTCTGGGCCATAGGCAAATTTGATGCCAGGGTAAGAGCATGTGAGCTTTCTTCCACAAGGCACCCAGCTGATGCTTGATCCTTCATCAAAGAGATAAACTGGGTTGAAGTGCTTCACCCCTTCTTTCATGATGAGCTTAACACGCAGCACCTTTCCTTCATTGTCACCGGGAATCAACTGGGTCGGCAGAACTTCAATCACAGCATCAGCATACTGCTTCTGCGGATCTATCACACCAAGTGGCAAGTAGTAAGCTCTAACATGTCTTCATTTGTTGACTACATATTTGATTAATTGATTGATGTGGCATTTTGCTGTATATATATGCTAGGTTTATTCAGAAACAATCTATGCTGATTATATATAACATAGTTGGAAGAATGCCGTACCAATATAAGCATCAAAATCTGGTTTCCTGGCCTCGATACTGGCCTGGATGCTTTCAAGGCTGTGCCCACGCTCTGCCATGTCCCGCTGCCAAAGTAGTACCGGTAATATTTTAGAGGATAGTAGAAAACAGCAGAAAGATCTTCTTTACTGACTCATGAGAAACAAGAAACATAAAAGTATAAAAGTATTTCTGTTCAGCTGACCTGAATTTTCCATGCAAACTTAACTTCATCACTGATGTCCAAGTAGATACTGAAATCTAAGAGGTCCCTCACACGCTGATCGAACCTGGTTTAAGCATATAACTAGTTGTCATGGCTTGTATGTAAAACAATTTTTGCCCTGTTCGCTTGGCTGATAAGGCATGGCTGAAAGTACTGTTGACTGATTTGTTGTGAGAGAAAAATATTGTTCGTTGGCTGAAAAAGTACGGCTTATAAACCAAGCGAACGTGGCGCTTGTTATTTCCAGTTGTTAGATTTTGTGTGGGGATCAAAAGCTTATTGTAGCCATTATTACCTGACAATTAATCACTCAAATACAGTGTTTTTTCTCTCACAACAAATCAGCGAACAATACTTTTCAGCCTGGCTTTTCAGCGAAGCAAACAGGGCCAGTGAAGAAACAAAACAACATACACAATATTCTATGACAGAATTGACCGGGGTATGTAGTAGCATAAGTGGAGCATGGGCATAGAACGTGAGCTTACATTGGGTGCAGACCTTCAATGACAAAAATCTTTGGTGGTGTGATAAGCTCCGGAGGGTCGAGGAGGCCAGTGACATGGTTGTAGATTGGCTTCTCGACTGCCTGGCCATCTTTGATCGCCTTCACCTGCTCATACATGAGATCAAAGTTGTTGGCCCTTGGGTCGAGGGCGGTCACACCATACTCCTTCCTGCCGTTTCTGTCCAGGGAATGGTAGTCGTCGAGGCATATCACTGTGGTAGTGTCACTGATGAGCGTGTTGGAGTCCGGGTTCCCGCCCTTGGGTGGCACTGCGGCGCCACCAAAGACGCTGGTGAGCCGGCGCATGAAGGTGCTCTTGCCGCACCCGGAGTCTGCCGCCAGGCCAATCACCACCGGCTTGTCGACGGAGCATGAGACCTGGAAGCAGGTCCTTGCCCCTCCGTGCCTTCTGCCGCCGCCGCTCCTCCTGTTGCTGGTGAAGAAAATGACTTGCCTCTGTCTGAAGCCTGCGTTCGAGACGGTCGCGCATGGGGAATGCAGGGAGGTGGTGGTAGTGTGCGCGCTGCAGATCGCCATCTCTGCGTGCGTGCGTGCCGGCGTTTGGTTCTTGGCTAAGCTTGTCTTCTTCCCTCCAAGAGTCCAAGCCGGGGAGTGGGACTTGAAGAGAAGAAGATAGGCAGAACTGGATGGTGGATGTGGAGCTACAAGCCTACAAGAACATAAGGACGAAGTGAGGATGGCAATTATGTGGTGTCCCTATTTTTCACATTCTTTTTTTTCCTGATAATATATCAAGGGCAGCTTATACTGAGCTGAAAATGAGTTCTTTCTTTCATTGTATTTTGTCAGTATTGAGTTCTTCCTTTCTTTCATTCATTCATTCGCGGCGAGTGTATTTTGTCAGTATTGAGTTCTTCCTTTCATTCATTTGCCTTTCATTCATTCATTCGCAGCGAGTGTATTTTGTCGCTACTGAGTTCCTCCTTTTAGCCTGTTTGCTTGTTGGTTTTAGTCAAAGCTTATTAGTCATGGTACAGTGTTTCCCTCTCAAACAAACCAGCACCAGCCGGACTTATCAGCCCAGAAACCGATCAACGAACAGGCTCTTTCATTGATACGCAGCGAGTGTATGTTGTCAGTATTCCTCCTCTGGACACTAAATTTTCTTGTTGAGAAAAGGCTTTAGAGCCCGTTCGTTTAACCTGGAATTGTTAGTAGATTGATAGACTTATTTGTATTAGTATAGATTAGTTGGAATAGTTCCAAGCCTCAAAACCAGCTAAACGAACGAGGCCTTAATATTTTCATGACCATTCTTCCTGGTGATGCTTCTAACATGCCATGGCTAGGTTTAAAGTTTAATAGCGAGTTATATGCAGAAAATATTTTGCTTATTGCTCGTCTGCTAGCTGCTAAATGCAACATACAGTACAGTACGTATTTGAGATTCCCGTACTTCTGTATTTTTGTGCCCTGGACATGTGCTTTTTTTTTTCATCCCATTGCTGATTAGCTGATGCCTGACTAGTGATGGCCACGGACGCTTGTGGGAAAGCCGGGAAGCTTGGTTGAGGTTTCATGAATTTAGATATGGTTTCTCCACGTGGCGGTGCAAGGGTGGCTGGTTGCAGATGAGGGAATGATGGGTGGCTGGAGGATGTTGCTGATGATTGCCCCGTAACATGCTGTGCACCATTGTACTACGTCACTCGACGGCCAGGACTTTGGCAGCGTCCACATCACCTGACGTCCCAGACCTGTGAGAGAATTTCTCTTTTTCTTTTTCTTTTTCTTTTCTTTTTCTTCTTTCGAATATGCTATGCCACCCCCAAAGCATGTGTGTCGTATATGCATCGAGGGAATTGCATTAAATCGATTCATGTGCCTCTACAGGCTCCTATAAATGACATTCGTTTGGATTCATGATCCGAAACAATATTTGCTACATTGTCAGTTCGTCACATAACACCCTCCATATATAAAAGAAGTAACATATGATCGTGTCTCCACTGTGGACAGGGATGCTGATTGTGTTGCAACAGTTTCATCCATGCTGACTGGCACAAACTGTGAAGCCAGAATATTACCAGGGGAGTCACACTATACTCCTTGCTGATGATATCAAATAAACCAGAGTCAGAAACTTTGAGGAGCATGAATCTCCAAGAAAGACGCAGGAGATTCGTTCAACGTCACAGAACACACAAATGAGATCCCAGGAGGCCAGGATGGTGGCTCTTGTTTCAGGTACCAGCAGACCAATCTATCTGCGCAGCCTTGGTAGCAAACAGAAGTGCACACAAAGCGCCATTTGTATATGGGCAAAGAATTGGGGTTTAAAACAGATCAGTCCAGAAAGACAGCTACAAATAATCGCATATACCCTCCACCATACAAATTTTAAACGGAAAAATATACATTGTCGTAACATACAATGACTGACATGTACTTACTTATGTGTATGCACAAAACCACAGAGCAACCAGATGGTTGACTATTGCAAGTGCTTCCATAGCCTACTTGTGCCCTCTGAAGTACATGTATACTTTCTGCATGCACCAAACGAAATAAGATCAAACCAGTGTTGGTATCACACAAACCAAGTTCTTCAAAACATGTTGACAATTTAAACAAAAAGGCAACATCGTTCACAATGACTGACTCCTGATGTGACATCCTTGCCCAACCTACCTTTATTTTTTACGACAAATGCGTGTGTTCAATCATGTACATTTGTACAGACCTTTATTAAAACAAGACAAATAAACATAGAAACTGCAAAGACAAGGACTAGAAATAGACACACTGATACGGAAACACAAAGCTGTTATTGGAACTTATGAACCATCCAAAAAATTGCAAATGTAAAATTTAAAAAAAACTCACAAATTCATAGATTTAGAAAATTTTAACTGTATTGGACCCTAATTTTCTAATTTTAAGAGAACTTCATTTTTTTGAGAATTATGCATAGATTTGGATAGCTAGAAGCCTGGAGGTAACTGTAGTCACGGATAATAAAAAAGGATACTTATTCTATAGAAGATTAACAGGTAACAGCAAGATATTTGGAAGGCAATAAGTGTTTAAAATTTAAACATTTCCAGTTGTTCCATCCGTAACTATATTAATCCCAAATGGGCATAACAAGAAACAGAACACATACAAATCACTGTAAATGGTCACCAGTGAATATACCATGTACCCCATGTGCAACAGGTACCAAGATATAACATAAAGGATTTTCCTAATACCATGAAAATTCAGAAATAAAAGGAAAATGCATAGGAGGGAAGGGATATAATAAAATGGCAAACATGAACAATGGATAGGCTACATACCTGGAGAACCCATATGCTCACAAGTGTCTCCAAGCAAAACAAGGCAAATCCGACAAAGTAAAAGATCTGAAGGGGAAGAATGATTTACATGTCAGATTCTTGTACTTTTTACCTTCTAAAATTGTAATGAAAATCCTTTGCAGACTAAGAGCATAAAGCTCCTTGAAGAAAACAAGTACAGTTGCTCGTTTTTATAGCTACGAGGTGAAAAAGGATTAAAGAAACGTCTCTAGATACTCACCCCAACTATTGCATGATCAGAAAAGGTGTCAATTGCAGCCAGTATACCCCTGATGACAAACAAAGTATATTTCTCTTAAGAGCAAGATAGACAAACCAAAAACCTTAGACAGATAATCCATCTGAATAGTAAGCATTAAGAAAGGTAAATAAAGATTAAGCAGATAATAGACATCGCCCTGTTTGGCAGTTGGGACAGTTTGACCCTCAGCTTTTTCACAGACTAAGGAGAAGCTATGCCAAGTGGCAGGATTTGTAGCAGCTTACCAATAAACAGAAACCAAGAATGAACTGAATAAGACGAAATTGCTTTTGACAAAAAAAATTCCAAAAAACTAAATTTTGTAAAATCACAAGCTGTGCCAAATAGGGCCTCAAAGTAGAGTGAAATGAAGCTCAAAACTTAATAGCACAGCTGTCTAGGTGCTGCTAATTGGTACTCCCTCCGTTCCAAATTATAAGTCGCTTTGATTTTTTGGATACATCCATTTTGTTATGCATCTAGATATAATATTATGCCTAGATATATAGCAAAATGGATGAACCAAAGAAGTCAAAGTGACTTATAATTTGGAACGGAGGGAGTATTATGTACAAGTGAGCATACACAAATACTGTGGCGATTATATACAGGGGATGGTGGATGATGAAATTTCTTTACTCAAAAAATGTGCAATGCAATCTGTAAGGAAGCTTACGTTAATGATTTTCCGCGGAATACAACTGGAGGAGCAATGGCAGCAAATATGCAAAAAGCAATGTGGAGCTGTGCACAACCAAAGATACACAAAGTAACTAAACCAGGTTTATAGCATAAATAGCATTTCAATGTCAAGAATGCGGAAGTCATGTCTTGATCTAGAAATTACCAGGTAACAAAGGAAAAACCATCCAAAGCTGAAAGCACTGTCAGTTCTGTTAAACAAGTTGGCAGAGAATTAGTACAAAACCGCTGGTAGTGCCAGAGAACATAAAGCAAAGGTCTATCAAGTCATTTAAAGCTAAATACATCTGGCAAAACATGTATCCTACTTGACTTCAGTTGGATCAGAATATCAATAATGTAATGTTCTATCGCCTAACTAAAATGTTATGCATGCTCAGCTGAGAGGAAATGAAATACATAAAGTTAGCATTATGAACTAGTGTATATTAATCAGTATTTATGGCATGAAGCATCAAGCAATAGCCATATACCTCATTGCTCGGTATAGAGGTCTGTACCACATCAAGTAGGACAAAGGGATGCCAAGCATACCATAGATGGTAGCCAGGAAAAATAGTTTGGAATCTGCAAGCATAAAAATATTCAAGATTTAGAGATCTGATGAGCTAAATTCATAACAGTGCAATAAAATGAGCACTTGCCTGTACTTAAACTACAGGTCAAGTACAATCTAGTAAATGCGGAGGTGAGAGGAGAAACAGCAGGTACGAAGGGTACAAACTAGCTACAATGAATGAAATGCTGAGCTTACCTCCCCCTCTGATCCAACAGACTATGACAGCAATAAAATTCCAGAAGAGACAAAGCACAATACCTGTACATCATTGCAATAAACAAAAATCCTCCGTGAGATGGTAAGTACAACTGTACAACAATGCAAACTCCTGAAAACACTAAATATAGAAATCCAACTATTCAGGAATGCATGTATACCAAGCCAGCTCGCAAACGCAAGATACTGCAACTTCTGAGCGTTTGCCGGTATCTCATTGGCAATATCATGGTGGATGATTGGGAAGAAAGGCGGCCAGTTCTTGTCCTCCATGGGCACCCCAGCTACAACATCAGGATACAATAAGCCAATAATACAAGACTGCATATTCATTGTTCCATGATAACATGAAAGACAACCATTTAGATAAGTTCAATTTGCATAGAATGCGGAAGCATACCGCTCTTGAGAGCTTCCTCCCTTCTCCTGATATCCTTGACACCCAAAAATTCCACCAAAGAATAGAATATTCAGTCAACATCCATGGCATGAATTAATTAATAGAGAGAATCCAAGGGAACAGCAAAGCAAGCACGCATACCGACTCTCGCCTCCTGAGATCTGACTCCCACTGAGACAGCTCCTTCGCCTTGCCCTTCGAATCCTTCATCACAAAACAGAGCCACATTACCAATTTACCACGCACGCTCCGTCGCTCCCTCGATCACTAAGCAAGCAACGAGGTAGTAAAGAGAAGGAACAGGAGCCTCGCTTACGTTCATGGTGTCGAGGGGGATGTCGACGGTCGCATCGCCCCTTCCGCCGCCGCCGAACCCCGCGGGCTCCGCCGGCCGGAACCCGTACTGCGACTTGACGCCTCCGCCACGCGCTCCTCCGCCTCCATTCTGCACAGCACCAAATCAGCACCTCATTAGCACGCTCCAGAAACCTAACGCCCCCGGAGCCAAGTGAGTTCTCTCTCATCCGAGATCTGCCGGCTCCCTAGAGCCAAATCCACGCAGAATGTGTGTTGGTTGGTTGGTTGGGGGGACTGGAGGAGGACTGAGGAGAGAGAGCAGAGCAGAGAAGAGGGCGGTCAGGGGTTACCGAGAAGGGGTTCTCGTCGGCGCCCTCGTCGAAGGGGTTGGGATCGTGGTGCATGCTCGCTGCCGTGGACAGCTCGGCCTCGGCTTCTGGCGGAGCAGCGAACTGATCGGTGCTCGGTGGTCGTTGGCGCGGGGAGACCTAGAGAGGGAAGCGGTGGGAGGAGTGGGCGTGTCGGGCGTGGTGGAGTGGACTGACCGACCACCCAAGTCGCTTCCGGTTCAAGTTGCTCTCATCTCTTTTCTCTGTTTTTTTTTCTTCGGTTTGTTCGCAGTTCTCAGACTTCGCGCTGGCAGGCGGGGGAGGCCCCGGGAACCGGACAGGACACCTCACCGTCATTTCCGTAGTTTTCAAATAGATTTATTATAATATAAATATAAAAATATTTTGTAATTAAATTAGTGATACTTGTCACATAACATAAATATTAATAGTTTTTAAAGTCAAATTTAGTATTATTTATTTGATTCCCCATGACATAATTTTTTTTGAAAGGAAGAGAGTAAATGAGTAATTTGAAATTAGTGGCGGATCCAAGAGTTTCCTTGACCTGGATAAGTACAATAGTGGGTCTTGTTCAATTGTCGGTTTTCTCTGCCTGACTGAGCTGTGCAAGTATGCTTCCGCTCAGAAAGGAGCTCTTGCAGCGCCCTACTAGGAATTCTAGCAAATACCGCTAAAAATAGCTCCAACATTCTTTCTAAACTCATTCGTGAAGCTATTTTAGCTACGGTGGCAAAAAAAAAAAGAGAGTCCAACAGTCTCTGTATCTTGTTTTCCTTTTTCTCTACTCGGTATGCCAACAAACTCATTGTCCATATTTTTCGAGTCGCTCGTGCTCTCTATCTATCGCGTCGTGCGACTCTCTCGCGCGCCCTTTCCCTCTCCCGCGCCTGCGTGCGTCCCTCGCCGAACCCTGCCAGGTCTTTTTCGTTGCAGTAGCACATATGCTAGGGCTAGAGCCTAGGGGACTGACGGTGCTGGCCAAGGGACAGGCCTTGCTGGCAGTAGCGTGTTGGCCAGCAGACTGGCCGCAATGCATGTTGGTTGGCCGGCGCAGTGGTGGAACCAAGGGGGCCCAGCAGGAGCCGTGCCACCCATCGACGAAATACATCCGGTAGTCTATCGAGAGGTATGCATACGGTAGTAGATGAATCGGTGGAAATAGCGCGTGTGTCGGTGTTTCGAGTTACCACCGACGAGTAAATTTCTAGTATTGCGCGTCTGGTTTGGATGGTGTGTTTAGAGGACACGAGGTTTATACTGGTTCGGGCAGAAAGTCACTACGTCTAGTTCGTCACTGTTGCTCGTGTTACTAGCACTGAAAGTTTGTAGTAGGGGTTACAAATGGACAAGAGAGGGAAAGGATCCCAAGTCTCTGGTGGGAGGAGTGAGTGCTGAGAGCTCGATCGCTACTCAGCCGTGTGTTCATGTCGTGCTCTTGTGCGGATCTCAATCGGATCGGATCTCGATGGGTCGATCCTCTTCATAGGACGCCCTACTTTCCCTTTTACATGTCAAGGGAAAGCGCGAGTTACAACGGAGAAAAGAAGAAGAACGAGAGAGAGGAAGACTTCAGGATCGCCGGGTCCTTCTTCTCCTTTATGTGGGTCCCGCTGATCCTGTAGACATCAACAGGGACGGCTCCACATCGCGGCCCTGTTCGTCACTAACGCCATGCGCAGGCGTCATCTGTCGGTCATTGCGTTCCATTCTGTCTCGGCGGACGTCATGATAAACTGACGCGCCTGTCAGCGTTCGTACGATGGTTAGGCAGAACAGCACCGGCACACCCGACTCTGTTCTTGATGTGAACCCTTAGGTATGGCCTCGTCATGGCCACGGGTTACATTGAGGCGTGCCAGTCCCTTCCCTGGTGTCAGAGTTTTGACCCAGACCTATATGCTTAGGCCTGAAGTAGTTGGCGACAGTATGGGTCCCCGTCGGGCGAGACAGAACTCGCGCCCGAGGGGTCGGGCGAGGCGGAAACCACGTCCTTGAGGTCGGGCGAGACGGAGCCCACACCCGAGGGGTCGGGTGAGGCGGAAACCGCGTCCTTGGCCTTGGGATCGGGCGAGACAGAGCCCGCACCCAAGGGGTCGGGCGAGGCGGAGCCCGCCCCTAGAGGTCGGGCGAGGCGGAGCCCGCGCACCTAGGGGTCGGTTGGAGCTGTAGTCGCGCTCTTGACGGCTTGGATGAATCAATGTTGATGATCATTAGCTCCTCCTCCTCGGGTACTCTAGTATTGATCCCCGACAGTAGCCCTCGAGCCTACGGAGGAGTAGAATACTCCTTTGGAGGCTTTTCCGAATGGGAGGACTCTGAGGGCCTCGGCCTTCTTTTATCGCCCACGGCGTGTCCTAGGGACGACGATTCCCTTTCGTCGTAATCGGACCCCTCGGGGGTATAGACATGAGATTTGGTGGGTTGGAAAAGGTCTTTCCTGATTTTGATCCCTACAGGGGTATGTCGTTCTACGACCGCGCGTTCAGTCTCCTTGCGAGTCCAACTTTCCTCGAGCCCCTGCCCGTAGCAGGGGTCCGGTCGAGGGTCAGCTCATCTTTGTGATCGTCTTCCCTCAAGCGTTTCCGATAAAAACGGAGGGGCTGAGCCGTGCCATGATTTTCCTCTATGGACGAATCACGGTGCTCGGTGAGCTGTTAACGGGCTAGTCCGAGTGAGGCCCCAGCATACCATTCGTGGGGGTGCGGCTTGGATCAGCTGGTGACCGACTTCATATTCTCAATGGTTAATCCATATAGTTCTCGGGTCCGTTCAACCGGTCCTGAGGGCTCTCTGCCTTTCTTCGAGGAAAAACCATGGATCGTATCCGACCGAGACTCGAACATGGGCCGGGGTGCCCGTGGCGCTCGTGCGCCCGGGTACTGGCCGCTAACGGGCCCATCCCCTTCCACTCCTCACTCTAAAGGTGCCCGAAGCGGTTGTCAAACCCATCGGTAGGCCAACCTTCGAACTCCTAGGCCTAGACGGGCCGTAGGAGTGTCTTTAGCTCCGTATCTCTCCTACCTATGACGGGTCGTGGCCTATTCGGGAAGGCGAAACGTCCGTCGCATTTTCTGAGGGGACGGCCATAGGTTGCATGCGCACGCCCTACGACGAGACATGGTGACAGGTTATGGCAGGCGCGAAGATCTAGGCGAGTAGTTGGTTTCCTCGCACCTATCGCCCCTATAAAACCAAAGGGTTAGCCCTCCGTGTTTCATACGCACGCCTGCATCCTTACCTCCGCAGCCACGTCGCCGCCGCCAACGCTTAAGTTTCCTGCCTCTACATCTCCGCCGCCATTGAGCTCGCGTCCATCCGTCCCCACCTCTAATGGATCCATTGTGCCATTCCGACATCACCTTCCAGCGCATGGAGGGCCTTGTCCATCGTGGTCTTCTCTGCCCGCGGACCTCGGCCGAGGAGTGGTTGCTGCCCGATGACGAGGATTCATCATCGCCGCCCGACGGCTACATGGTGTCATTCGCCCACTTCCATGAGCGTGGGCTCATGACCCTCGCCCACAAATTCTTTAGAGGGCTACTGCACTTCTACAAGATTGAGCTACAACATCTCAATCCCAACAGGATCCAGCACATGGCGGCGTTCGTCGCGCTGTGTGAAGGATTCCTGGGTATCAGGCCCCACTTCGACTTGTGGAGGTATTTCTTCACCGTCAACCTTCAGAAGAAGAGGGAAAAGAGCGGCAGGCAGGAGCTGCATATGCCAATGGGGTGCGCCGACATCCAACTTCGGAACAATCTGGGTCGACAAGTACCCGTCCATGCGGCTCTCGACGTCCAATAAGGGGTGGCACTCATAGTGGTTCTACCTCAAGAACGATGTTGCCACCCCTCTGCCGGAGTTCACCGGGCGCCTGGTCGAAGAGGCCCTAGAGCAGTGGAGGAAGTGGGGCATAGAAGAAGATCCAAGACTACATTGCCGCTGTCGACATCCTAAAGGAGAATGGCCTAAAAGGGTTGGGCATCATCGAGGCTTACCACGCGAGGAGGGTGGCGCCGTTGATGATGCGTGCGCTCCCGCTATACACGATCGCACTCGAGGCATCATTCGATGGAACGGCACTCGTCGAGGGAACACTCCCCAACTCCAAGATTGCGCAACGCATCAAGGAGGTGATGGGGCCTTTGTGGGATGACACGGGTGCCGCCCTCGACTTCATCTGCCCGGTGTCGGGGCATCCTCCGATGCGGCCGGAGCCAGGCTATGTTGTCTTCGTAAGTTTCCCTTTCTGTTGCCTTCTCTTTAATTGATTTCCTGACCCCGTGAGACTTACTTTGAGAGGGGCGGGACCAGCTGAGGGACTTCATCCTCATGGATCACCCGGTGCCACTATCGAGGGATTCGGCCGTGAGGGTGACAAATCACGCCGAGGGCGAGCGGCTGAGGAAGGCGAATGACAAGAAGAGGAAGAAGTAGCGGAAGCTGTGGGCGTGGGAACGAGGGGAGGACACTAACGACGATGACGATGGTGACGATGATGAGGTGATGGAGGAAGAGAAAATGGTAGCCGACGATATCGAGTGGGACAACATGGAGAATGAGGATGCACCGACAGGCGTCGGTTCGTCCTTGCAGGCGTTGGGACCCTTCCTGTTCCATGGAGGGGAGGGCACATCTAGGGAGCCAGCGGAGGCAGGACGCACCGTCGGACCGCCCTAGGAGCCAATAGAGGCGGGCGGCTCCGCCGTTGTGCCCTAAGAGCTAAGGGGAGCAGGGTGTCCCGCCAATGTGCCCTAGGAGCTACCAGGGGCGAGCCCCTCTGCCCAGGAGCAGTGGGCGGGCTCGAAACGGCCTTGTTCTGATGAGGTAGAGCAAGGGTCGGGGGGGTTCATCCCCCAAACGCATCTGCCACTCGACGGCGCTGAGGTGAGTTATCAATTCCTTTGTTTTTTCCTGTTTTAGTCATATTTCATTGTGACTTATGTTTTTGTCCCTTGCAGCGTCGGCAGGCATTAGAATCCTTTGGTGCTGGCGCCAAAGAAGAGCATCGCCCTCTAATCAAGGCGGCGGCCATCGACTGGTGTCGCGCC